ACCAAGCTCAGAGAACCCCAAGGACTCCACAGTTCAACCCTGAGCTACACATATTCGCCTGCATTGATACAAATTAGTGTTACAACTCCTGAATTGCTTTGCCAATAGTAAAGGGATTAGAACTAACCATTATTATACATATTTTGATGTGTCTGGTATTTACAGTTTTTATTGTATTAACCTCTTTTGAAGATCACAGGAATTTAATTTCACCTTATCAAAGCTATTTTCTACTGGTTTAGGCAGGAGATGCAGACTTGTTATTCCTGAGGTTATATAAATAACAAAATTCAATTTATTCAACTTTCTATAAAAAACAAACCAAAAAGCTTTAATGATTTAGGAGACAAAGTTAATTCCTCTAAAACCTCCAACTACAGCGTTTTGATCTTTCAAATTTTGGAGGTCAGAAGCTCCAACTCCCTTCTGGATAAACTGTTCGGCAGCTTTGCTGACAGCAACAGCCTGTGGAGAGGGGGCATTTTCTATGAGGGAAGAGGTAAGCTCCACCAGTTGCTGACTCTCTGTCTCTGCTTGTAAGTCCCACTCTAATGGATCGTATTTGTCCGATAAGTGAAGTAGGGAGGAATTACTTGCCGAAGAGATACGTTTATTGGTTATAAATTTATCTACCTTCTGTTGCTTCAGCGGCTTTGCTGAAGGTTGCGTTGCGGAGGGTATTCTTTGTCGCTTCTTCCTTTTCCCCATAACGCAAGGAGTTAGTTGCAGCTTTAGCTGTTATCCAAAAATACTCCAGAAGGGAGGGTTGTACCGTCTTATATTGTAAGTAGATCTTAAAATTTTAAAGGATATGTGGATTTAGAAGTAGAGAACCTTTTTGCAGGAGCTCATTGTTAAAGCTGCAGCCTCGCCGCCATCATGTTTCCTCTTTTTATTTTAGATATTATCATTTTATCATCACCTTATTTTAGCTAACGGTTAATAATGGTAGGATATCATAATTTAAGGAGTAATAATTATGTAGTGTAATAAATAACACTATAGGATAGGCCGTTTGACTTCATGTATAAACAACATTTAGGCGGCCAAATTATACTTATGATATAGATTTTACTTGGTATTATTATATAAGGAGTAATAATTATGTAGTGTAATAAATAACACTATAGGATAGGCCGTTTGACTTCATGTATAAACAACATTTAGGCGGCCAAATTATACTTATGATATAGATTTTACTTGGTATTATTATATCTAAAATATTTAAGTAGACATGTTATGTGCATTTTTAGTTGTATTGGTCTATGACTGTAATAAACTGATTGTACTCCAACTACAGCAGAACTGCAGAACCAACAGTATCATCAGGACCAAATAGCAGAAGTTTGAGTTGAATTTGCTGCCTAGAACCACTGTTGAATAAATCAGTTTTGTTTTTTGTTTTAAATTCTGCCAAAAAACTAAAAATGTAATATTGTAAGATTATACAGTATTGCCACTGAAGCCGTTGTTGTCTATTTTATTGTATATATAGGAGTAAGAGTATTGTCCCCAAATAGTCTTCCATCTTCAGCAGAAGATACTTTTGAAAACAAAGGAGTGGGAGACAGGGATGTAGACATTGCTTGGGAGGAGCTACTTGTTAAGTGAATTTTAACCCTTTTTTTGTAATTCCTAAATCAGAATTCTCTTTTTCTTCCCTGACCTTTTCTCCTTGCCTCGTTTTCTTTTTCTTTGGTTCTCCTCTTTTTCTTTTTGTCATTCTTATGCAGTTATGCCTTCCTCTTACCCGCATATCCTCCTCTTTTTTTTTTTTTTTTTGCTTAAACTATTGGAAGGAGGAAAGGGAATGTCTGAATGTATAGATACTTGGGTGTTTGTGTGTGTGTGAATGTTTTTTGTGTGTAGGCATGTAAAAGGTAGAGAATGATTATGTAGAGAGAAATCAATTTATAAGTGGAATGTCTTATTTTATAAGGAATTAATTTTAATCAGCAATTAAATGCCTGGTTTGAGTGTTTTAAGTTTGGTGAGAACTTTCTTGTCACTAAATGTAAAACGTATTGCACAGTCAGGCCTCTAACATTGTGAATGACATGGAAGTTCAGAAGTTAAAAAACAAAAACCTGGGAAGCAAAGAGTGAAATGTGAAATGCATCATTCAGAAGACTCTGCCTATCATAACTATTCTATAACATGTAGTATAACACTTTGAGTTTACAAAGATGTGTTGGGTAGGCATGTGTTGAAAAATATTGTACAATGAAAAGTTATAAAAAAGATTTCTCAATTACATTTACAGTATAAAGTAGAACATGTGAGTTGACAAACTGAATTCTTGTTGAGGAACTAGGCAGATAAGGGCCAAAAAATGTTGAAACTTAATCAAAAGCAGCTAGTTTCCAGGAAGTTAGTGACTAACAGGAGGTAATAGGGGTTTGGTGACCAATGGGGGAGTTCCTCTATAAGTTGACAATGTTTACTTGGCTAGCTTGAGAACTGGAGAAAAGAAAAAGACAAAGAAATAAAAGGGTTGCTATTGTGTTTTTTTTTACCAATGGTGTTGTAAGAAAGAAAAAAAAAGATGAATAAGACTGCAACCATGATCTGCAATGCTAGAAACATGTTTGAGTCCCTGAGCAAAAACAACTTTGCATATAATTGCAGCAAGTACTTGAAGAAAAAAATATAAAAGGATTGGAAAGTGAGTAGCAGTAGCCACATTTCAGCTCAAAAGAGAGAATTCAGATCTGCTTAACAAAACAAAGGAAGCACTATAACAATGATTTAAATTATGGTAGTACTGGGATTAGATCATGTTTTAAATTAATTGTTGTATTGTTATACTATTGATACTGATTTATATCATGTTCTGAATGTTATTGTTCGTTTGTACTGTGCTCAGATTCAAGCACATACAAACTAAAAATACTAATAGGAACTGACAAAGGAAGCAGCTCTTTGTATGGGACAGAATCAAACAAGGTACAATGCTTGTACTAAAATTAAGAGAAACTAAAGCTGGGTGTAGTCAAATGCAAGAAAAGAGCTAATTACTAAACTTAGAATAATTATATATAGGATTCTATATATATAAGAAGCTAATAAAAAAAGCAGCCCAAATGAGTTTCTTTTAAAAAGGAGATACTAAAAGACTGCATACTATTCCAGTGAGGGAAAACCCACATTAAAAGTTTAATAAAAATCTGAAAATAGAAACTGATACATATAGAAGTTGATGGAATGAGGTAGAATAGGTACCTTGGATTTGTAGAGGTGGTGTCAGAAAAACTGTAAGTCAGAATGAACATATGTTAGAGAAGTATGTAACGAACAACAGAATTTCTGCAGATACGTTCGAAAGAAAAGGAAAAAAGAAAGGTGTGCCAGGTATTTGTTGAGAATGGCAAAGGGTAGTAAATAACAAAAGAAAGGTAGAGCTCCTTTTTCGGCTCAGCCTTTTCTGAGAAAATGTGTTCTACTAGCCAATTGTAAAGAGCTGGTTGAAGAAACAAGTTCCAGATTCAGCTTGATAGAAACTTAGACAAGGTTGAATAAATTAAAATCTCCAGTCCCAAGTGCATTGCATCCTAGGGCAGATTTTTCAAACTGTGTTCTGTGGAGCCCTAGCACTGCGCAAGAATTTGATGGAGTTCTGTGAGAGATGAGGACCCCCCCCCCAAAAAATCACTCAGATGTAGTCAGGGGCACCCAGAGCAATTTTTCTAAGGTACAGTGGAAAGGGTGGGGCTTGTTAGCTGATATGTAGAACCCCCACCCCCGAGGAGTATTTATGCTCTTGATGACTCATGGCTTTGCCTCTTGATTACGGTTTCAAGGATTTTTTTTTTAAAAAAACAGGTTTTGCGGCCTGAAAAAGTCGGAAAACCCCTGTCCTAGGGGAAGAAGAAAGCATGTTTATGAACTGACTAAACCTCTATTCATTATCCTTGAAAAGTCTGGGAGAATAGATGAAGTACCAGATGACTAGAGGAAGGTAATGATGAAGGTTTCCTGTGTTTGTCTTTTCCATTATATGAAAGGAATCATTCCTTATTTTCCTACTTTCTAAAATTTACACAGCTCATGTGCCTTAACACAGAGGTCAATGAAATGCCACAAATTAAAATATTCTGAATTTCCTAATAGGATAGTACTGAAATGACAGGATCATCCATGGATTCACAAACTACCTGAAAACAATTGCTAGAAAAATAGCATTACAATTGATTTCTGTCTTACCTTTATAGGCATTGGATAAGAGAAAACAAAATTATACTTACCTTTTTTTTTTTTGGTCACTAGCTTAGTCATCATCTTTTAGTTTTCCAACATTTAGATTTTCAAAAAGCTTTAATGTTTACATGTTTTCAAAATAGTTGTGTTTGGATGACAATAAGCCTGACTTATTGAATATGGTCAGTTTCTGAACAATGCCACTAGAAAAACCCAGGCAGGGATTTCTTTTTAGGTTAACGTGCAGGATATATTCCTAACTGAAAAATCTTTTGCTCTTCATATAGTAGTTGCGCTGTTCAGATTAAATTGTATTTGTGATTCTGGCAAAGCTTAATTGGGTTATAAGTTTTATGTATGGAAGTTGTTCATATTTGTTTCATTCTAAGTTGTCTCCAACTAAATCACAGTAATGTTTTTCCAGGGTGGAGAATCTTTTCTCTGTGAATGGCTGTTGACTGACATAAAGTATCAGTTTTGCTGGAGGTGTTGATAAACAGAAGCAAAAATACTGGAATCAAATATTTGGAGTGTTATAGATAATCCTTAGGATGATGTTTTTGTCTGTGTTTTGAACTCCTGAAGGTAATAGCATTCTCATTTCTGAGTGAAAAGTAGAGAAACCTACCCTTTATGAGTAATATAAAAGACCTTGCCATAAAAATTAAAATTTATTAATTTAAATCTTTTTATTTTAAAAAGCTTTTCTTCCTGATTTCAATAACCATTTGTGAAAGAAGTTTTCTTTAATGCATCTTGAAGAACTATGTAAGACTTTTATAGAAAGTAGATTAAAATATAGCAAGAAATAATAACTCTGTTATCATTTAGCAAGCAATTGCAGATTCAGATAAACACATTGTTGGTAGACACCTAGAATTTCTAACCAAGAGGTGCTATGGAATCCTTTGGTGTGCTCCAAATTATATTTGGCAGTTGTAGAATGCTCCTTTAAATATAATATGAACTTCTAAAACCATTGTAACTGGACTAGTTCCTCTGTTTTCCCTCCTTTCTGTAGTTTAACTGAACAGGGGAGAGGCAGAGAATGTGTGTACTAAAGTTAAAATCCTGTTCAATAAAATCCTGTTCAATCAGTATCGTCAGCCTAAAACAGAAAGGCAGAATGAAATAGGACAAGGGATAACAAGGATAACAATGGTACTACAATTCAAACCATTTTCCGTAAAACAAAACCCAAATTTTAATTCTCATCTGCCATCCACTAATTCTAGTTTGCTATATATGTTTCCTAATCCTAAATTAAGAGCCAGTTTGGTGTGGTGGTTAAGGCATCAGGCTAGAAACCAGGAGATTGTGAATTTAGTCCCGCCTTAGGCATGAAGCCAGCTGGATATCCTTGGGCCAGTCACACACTCAGCCTTAGGAAGAAGGCAGTGGCAAGACACTTTTGAAAATCTTGCCAAGAAAACTGCAAATGGACTTATCCAGGCAGTTGCCCAGAGTCAAAATTGACTTGAAGCTACATACAATGGCAAATGTTATTTTTAGGGTGCTGTTAATTGTCTCTAGCCTCAAACTTTTGGGCATGTTTCTTAATCAAACTAGGGTTTCTTAATTGACATGTTAAAAAAAACAGTGTACAATCCTTTACATGTTGACATGACTACATGTAAGAAAGGAGGCTACTTATAAGTTATGTAAAATATGATTAACTTTTTTAAACAAGTTTATATATGTATGTGTGTTATATTTTTCCTAAATGACTTTGCATTAAGAAAACACATGCACTATTGTACTGTATATATAGTACAGTTCAAAGCTTTAATGTGCTGTAATTTGTTTCTATTCTGCTTTTTACCCAAGGACTCATAGCAGTTCAAAATGATTAATACAGATACAAAATTATATATTGCAATAAAGCAAAGCTTATGCAATTATATTAGTAACATTATCTAGTTTACTTAACTTTATATTTAAAGTAATCTTTCCCATTTTATTTAATTGAACAAAGCAAGAAAATAGAGGAAAAAAACCAAAACAACAAGATTATTTGAATTAATCTTGACATTCTTGCAACTAATAGATATTTAGAGTTGCCGGTGAGACATACACATTCTAAGCCATGAAAAGGAATTTGGCTTCTCAGTATGGAATGAATTAATTTCAGATGTCCAAAGCTACTGGTTTTTGTTTTGCTTCTTTCATTGATTTTTTAAATTAATTTTTAAAAATTCATTTATTTTTGGTATTTGGGGACTGCTGAGTGGCTCCTGGCAATTTACAACCATATACAATACAATATACTTATCCATCAAATCATGCAATAGTCCCTCCCACAGGAAAACCAATCCTAGTGTCAGAGTCTTTGATGTTGGAATATTTCTGTTTCATAACATATACTTATAATGAAATATAACAATATTATATATTAAGGGTTTTTTGGGGACTTTATAGATTTTCATGTGCAAGGATAATGCAAAAAAGAGTGGCAGAAAATGAATTGGAAATCTCTTACTTTGATTAAGATGGGGAGGAACCATAATTGCTCATTTAGAAAGCTCTGGTTAGGAGAAGAATTGTTTAAGATGTCTGAAATTGAATGTTAACCATTGTTTTCCTCTTTTTTTCCCCAAGTTGGTGAATGATCTAGGCAAGATTGTGATGTAAAGATAGTGAATCTGGCAGCTTCAGATGTATCCTCCTTGGGCCTAAGTTATCCTCCTGTCTAGCTATAGTTGACATAAACTGAACATAATGCCAGCAATAGGTTAATGGCTGTTGCTTGCCCTAGTTTTATGCCAAACCGTCTTTCAACTCAAATGAGAAGGAGCAAGACATAAAATGGAAACAGGATGTGGTTTTCGAATAATTGAAGCCTGAAGCAACCCTCATGAATTTCAACCACAGAGATTCAGAGAGCATCACTGGTAAGCTGATGAGTTAATTAAAAGGTGCTGGTAGTTGTTTTGGAGATTATTAATGCTTCACGGCTGCAGTCTTCAGTAGTTTATTTTGAACTTTAGAACTGTGTCAAATTTACACTGAGGCAATGCCTTTGTTAGGCCAAACTCAAGGTTGATGAAATAACATGTAAACTTTCACAAAATGCAAGCAGGCAGATCATATAAAAATTAAAAACAACGTTGTGGAAGGGGAAGCGAGAAAAGCATCTAAACCAGCTCCTTTATAAAGGAATGCTGCCTTTTTGAATTAAGGATAAATTGAAGTATTAATAACTTAAAAGCTGGAGTAAGAGAGACATCCATGTTAAAATCAGTGCAGTAGCTGAAAACCCATAGCTTCTTTGAATAATTGATTTGATAATTGATTTCCAATAGAGATAAACATCTATGGCTTGTGCTATTTCTCACTAGCCTTAGTTTAAATCAGAATGAATAACATTACATATTTTGTTTCAGAGTGTGGAAAACCATTTATTTAGCAAAGAAAATAATAGTTTTCTTTCAAAGTTGATCTGTAGTATGATGTCTGCATATATCTTTAGATGTTTGTCCTAATGAAGATCTTCCTGAAGTAGAGCTAGTGAGCATGCTAGAAGAACAACTGCCTCAGTACAAATTACATGTGGATTCCTTATATCTTCCTGTAAATGATGACTGGATCCAGTCAAGAAGCTCTCACAGTCACGACCCTGAAATTTCTTCTCCTGTCCTTGCTGAGGAGGCACTCCATTATATGAGTAAGTATCTCAATACAAATTTAAACATTAAAGATTCAGTCAACCTGCAAAAAGGGCAGAAGTGCCTCCTGATTTGGAGAATTGCATGTTTTCCAATATTAGCACAAAGAACCAGGCTTGGGTCAGGATATATATTTCTAATAAAATTAAAAAACAGTGCAATGTCCTGTGGACTCTTGCTGTTGGTAAATGTACTGTTGAAGAACATGGGAATAAACAACAGTGAACACAGTTGTTAAAATGGCATAGATTGCAATTTATATATAAGACAATGACATTAGCTTATGTCAAGACCCACAAAATAAGACTGTTAAAGTCTCTTTGTACCATTTGTAGCCCAGAAACAATGTACCTGTTGGTTAAATATTGGCTTATACAACTTTTTATTACCTGTGTTTTTGATCAGTTATATGGACTATGGGTGTGTTCAACTTTCTGATCTTTAGGATTGAACTTTCAGTGCAAAGCTGATCAATAAAATATTCATCAGTCCAACTTTCAGTCCACCTAGTAAATAAGTAAAATTCATTTTTGACTAAATAAAATCAGTGCAGCTTCTTTAAGGAGCTGCTGGCAAATACAGTAGTCATTCTCATGCCAGATCTAAAGCACCTTTCCCACTTCAGATTAAAATACTGCACACCTCTAATCTTGTATTACATTGGTGTGCTAACACTTATTGATAAAAGAACAGATTCTCCAGTGAAGCTAAACTCTTAATATGATTGCAATATTCCACATTTAATACCCTTTGTAATTCCAAAACTAGGAAACTAGTTGACTTCTGCATTCAGAGCTGCAATAGCCAATATTGCAGAGTAGCTCCTCCTTTTTTATGACACTTCTGCTTGGAGGAATGTTTATTTGATAACTAAGTAAATATTAGGGAGTGTTGCTTGCAAGTTCAGCAGTGTGTGTGCCACAGAACAAAAAATATGGGCTAGGCATGACTTCAGCTTGGAAGTAATTCTTCTAAACTGTTCCCTGTACATAAGTTATCAGTTGGATATGGCCCTAAGTAACAGGGATGTGAACCAAAATGAAGAGCTACTTATGGATTTCACTCTACAAGGTAAGTGGGCATATAAACATTAGCATATGTACATTATATTTTGACTAGATTTTCCAGAAAATCTGAGAGCTTTATAAAAATTATACATTTTTATAAGATCATAATTGATGGTTAGAGTTTTGATGCTTGTTAGCTGTCCGAGCTACAAATCAGAAAGCCCTTAGATTCAATTTCTTCAAAAGCTGAGTGATTTTAGTAAGGTCTTTCTCTCTTAGATTGTAAGGAAAAACTGAACACAATCCACAACTGAATACAGAGAATACAACTGTATAATACAGAGAATACAACTGAATACAACTGTATAAAGTAGAATGCTGCAAACTTTCTATAGGCAAGAAATTGTAAGAGAGAGAAACTATTTTCATTGATTATCCCCTTTCCTTTTTTTTAATAGTAATTTTATTAAGCATTACAATTAAAAAGATAAGAACTAATACAATCTAAAAAATACAAGAATAGAAAAAATAGAAAGTGCAGAAAAGAGAAAAATAGAAAAGAAAGAAAAATAAGAATATAGTAAAGGAAAAGAAATATATAAAGAAATGACTTCCCCCTTCATCACAAGAAGTATAAACAGTTTTAGTAACTTATCACCTTCTAAAATACAACAAATGATCTCTTCCCCTATCTTATCTCTATCTATAAACTAATCTTTAAAGCCTCATCAGCAAAAGTCAGTTAAGGGTTACTAGAGATATATCTATTTTAACCTTGATCAAATAAACCTTTATATTCCTTGCTTTTACTTTTAACAATCTTGTTCTTTTATCCCTTCAAACTGTCCTAGATTTCATTTTTTTCTTTGTCCCTTCTCACAAAATCCTTCAAAACTTTAACAAGTCCCTTTTGTAAATCTAATATAGGAAAGTTATCCAGGTCACTCTTTTGGTTTGTTATTTGTATATCCCTTTTAATTATTACAACATCAGCTGGTTTCATTTGTATATCATGTAGCAACTTTTTCCATATCATTCTTGTAGCCCGTCACTTTCAAATCAGTCTCAATCTTGTTCAGTAAAACTTATTCCTCTTCTGTAACATCTTTTAAACACAGTTTATCTATAACGGCAGACACTTTTAAAATTAACTTCTGGATCCATTGTTCACAAATATCCTTCAGTATGTCCAATGTTAAAGTAGTTTGCTCCATTCTGTATTAGTAACTCAAATTTAAGTGTTCTTCTCCTTTAATTGTAATCTTTAGTTCCTTCTGGTTCCTTGTAGTGTCCAACCTTCATAGTCTCATCCTATCATGTTTTTTTGAAAATTCAAAATGACAGCATATTCCCACGAGAAGTATTCTTATAATTAATTTCAAAATCTTATTTCAAATCCATCTGGACCCTTAGTCCATTTGTAACTTTTCAAAATCAATGTTCTAATTATCCTTTTACTCTTTATTCCCCCACCAAAATTTTTTTTTAAAGTTCTTAAACTTGTATTTAAAACTTCTTTTGCTAAGGATTGAAGGAGACTCACCTGGTGCTCTAAAACCTGTAGTTGCAAAGGTTTCTAATAGCTAAAAAGCAGTTAAACAGCAATTTCCTAAAGTGATTAAGAAATGAGGCTTGGCGAACCTTATGTCCGTATAGATTATATCATGGCTGTGAGCTTGGTTGAAATCCCTTGAGTCCCAGCCGCTCAACTCATAAGTCATCCACAAAAACCTGTTCCTGTAGTCTACTCACGAGAATCAGCTGTCTGGAGTACAAGTGGGCAATTTCACAATCTCTCCTGTTTCCAGAGAGACTTCGCTGGCCAGAATTCATGTCTGGCCGCTGATCTCTGCCACAATGCCATTCCCGCTCCTTCAGGAGCATCTAGTCCACTAGAATCCTCACTGGAAGTGCTGATTACCCCCTTTCCCATTACTTTCTCTACATCCATTGCCACTAAAAATCTCTCTCAGAAGTTTGGGTGACCATTTGGAACAGGGGTTGCTACAAGGAGGAAGAAAATGTATTATAAATGCCTCTTCCCTTCCTTCTGTACAGAAGAGCATCTAGTTTACAGTGCAGAAATCTTCAGTGATTCTGACTTACTTCTGAAAACGGAAGGAACCCTTCTGTTTGTACTTGTACAGTTTGGTCTTGGATATTTTTCTTGCTGGATTTTGGTATTTCTGTATACTACTTAAGTAAAATAATAACTTGGGTTCTCCTTTCTCTCTAATATTTATCTATTGGTTACTGGTTAAGCTGGGCAGGCTTTTGTCCTTTCCTCCTAATAAAAATGGGTAGTTTGATAACTGTCTTCTGCAAGAAATTGTAAATCAATTAGGATATAAATAGATCCACAGAAAAGACTTGTCATGTGTATTTTCTGTTCTGTGTGGTACAGAGGGCATTGCTGTACAGAATGATAAATTGTGCCTCAGCTACATTTTTATTCTTTCCAACCCGATGGAATGTTGGAAAGAAATTATGTATAGTAAAGGAGATTGGAACTGTGTCCACCTCCCTGTCTATCTATTTGCCCTTCAGCAAGATAGCACCAACTTTTAAAGAGACTAAATTTGGTGTTGTGGAGGTGGATTGGGAAGTGAGCAAAAAAAAGAGTGAAAATGGATCAGTTCCAGCTAGGGACGGCAAAGAAAAAAAATCCACCAGTGCAGCCCATGGAAGAGGCACTGATTCAGAATTTTGCTGACTTCTCCATTCTAAAACCCTCCCCTCTCCTTCTCCTTAGTCACATGACTCAGAAGAGAGCTATTATTAAGGATTTGGAGAAAAAATCCAAAAGCCATTCTCTGCATAAAGTTAAAAAATCAAGACTTCTGGTGACTACCCCAATCTGGGATTTTTTTTTTTTAGCAATAACACAGAAATGGGTTTGCCACTGCTTTCCTTTAGGTTATTTTTTTCATCTTCTCAAACCAGCCTACAGCCCACAGCCCTGGGATTTGTTAGTGGTCTTCCATCCAAGTACTAATCCCTCAGATCTTTATTGACATCAGCCAAGGTCAGCCAGATGGTGCCACCTGCTGTGACAAACCTTTGCATACACTTTTTTTTTTGGTGCCTTTAAGTCAGTTTTTGACTCCTAGTGACTGCCTGGACTAGTCCCTGCAGTTGTTTTGGCAAGATTTCAGAAGTGGTTTGCCCTTGCCTGCTTCTTCCTAGGGCTGAGGGAGAGTGACTGGCCCAAGGTCACCCAGCTGGCTTCGTGCCTAAGTGAGGGCTAGAACTCCTGGTCTCCTGGTTTCTAGTCTGATGCCTTAATCTCTAGATTGAACTAGCTCTCTATTAAAGAATGCATGTTTGAAAATACATTAACAAGAAATAGGCATGACAAACTGTTCCAATATCATTTTAAAATAAAAGTGCCTTAACCACCAAACTGACTCTCCTGCATACCGAATCTTTTTTCAGTCAGAATGTATTGCTTACTTACTGTCTTAACAAATGATGAGGGAGGGAGAGAAATGGCTGCCCTCCGCTTTTCTCTGTGTAGCTGAAAGGTGAACACAAACAGTTGATGGTTCTTACTCTTCAGAAGAACTGAATATAAAACTCATAAATATCCAGAAATGGGGTGGGGGTGCATTGATATTTGCCATGTTTTTTACAAAACATGAGCAGATTAATATTGCTGTGTTATACAGCAGTGAAGAGATTGTTTAAAAAGCCTAAAGTATTGTATCCCTTTTACAGTGCAGTGATCTTGACATTTTCTTGCTATTGTTATTGTTTCCTGCTGTTTCATATTTGCTGTATAATAGGTGTTAAACGCTATATTGCCTATTTGTACAGCAGAAATGACTAAAACTGACATGTGTTTTAAAACTATATGCATAAATGTTTCCCAAATAATTCCCTATTTCGTATGTTTTTGAGCCAAGATTTAATCATCTCATTAGCTTTTCTATTCTACTTGGTGAGAAATAAAAATTTTCCACGCAGTATGGCCTCCATGTAGAAAACTTCCTGGGTGATAGCAGGAAGTGACTGCTGCTCCCTGTCCTGATATTTTACATCTGCCAACTTGGCTGGGCTAGCTAGATATTACATACATGTATTGTGTTCAGTAAGACAGGACTCGGCAACATGTTCTCCATGGGCATTAATGTGCCCACAGAACTCTCAGAGTTTACCAATCTTCCTGCCCAGTTTCAAATTTTTATAAATGCACTTAATGACAATGATTGAATGTTAGTAAATTGCAAGGCATCACTTTCTAGCATAATTTTTATTCAGGATACTTCCACACCATCATCATTTTCACTACCCTACACTGCACAGGATTGTAGGAGTAAAGGATTTATCTGGGATTACAAGAACACTTCTGACCCCAAATAATACCATTGATGTTCTCAGAAATTAAACATGGTAGGCATCTTCTTCCAGGTCCTTGTTCTGGAAGTATGCTCAGAAAAAAAGCAAAAATAAGCCGAAGTGGTGGACAATATCCTGGAGAATTAAAAGAGATAGTCAGGAATAATCTTACCAGTTTTGTGTTCTTTGTGTTCACAAAAATCACATTTTGTGATTAGCTGCATGCTGGGTGTAGGCAATTTGTGAATAGGCAGGCTGCCCTCTCCCACAACACACACTCAAAATAGCACCTACATCTACAAGATTTCACATTACAGTAGTAAAAAATACAGGTCTTCCATGTAGCATCCTTTTGCAAAGAAGTGTCTTGCTTCTACTTAGATTGTCCTTACAGTATTGAATCAAGTTATCCAATTCTTGTAGTAAAGATAATTATTCATAACTTGAACATGCAGACCCTTATATACCAAAATGTACATTGTTACTATGAAAACGGTTCTCTAATTCACAACTATATAGATATGTAACTGTTAAATGTTTTCTCCTTCCTCTCCTACTTTTATTTGTTCTTCACAACTAGCTGTTATTGAAATTCCCCCTTTCTCCTTGGCTGGACCTCACAAAAATGCACAGATTAAGTTTCTTCTGTCCTCAAATCTCACATTACAAGATATAGTAAAAAAAAAAATTTTTTAATCATTACCTTAAAATCTTGCTTGCTTGCTTTTTTTCTTCTGTTTTTTTCCTTAAATTTTTAATTAGAATTTATTCCACAAAAGTATGATGCAACAAAGTCTAAATATCCTTTTTCTTGTTCTTATTCTTTAACCATTAACCCTTGCAATTTTTTTGTATATTCTCAAGTATGTTATTTTTGGGACTATATTATTTTCATTTGTTTAAATCACATTAAGGAGTTGTTTTGTTTTTCAGTTGTTGGCACAGATAGAGGAGAGCATGTGTCAAAAAATTGCAATGATATTGAAGTAATCACTCATCTGTTGGCTGAGGTAAAATTGTCTTTCCATTTGTTTTGATTCTGAAGTTATTTATAAATTTGTTGTTTTGTGCTCCTTTGATTTTACATTCGATTTTGCATTTATTTTTATGTCTGTTATAAGTTGTCAAGTCAACAATTTAAGTGTAAGTGAAAGCATGTAATTAATAAAATTTACTGAGGGTAAAATCGAATTAAAATAGCTTACTAATTCAAATAAGAAAAAAAGCATTATTTTACTGTCCAACTAAATGTTTGTCCTTGTTGCTTTAGCAATTGAAAATAAATATTTTAAATTTTAGAAAGATAAATTTAAGGGTAGACATTTTAGTAACATTATTATTAGGGTGTTCATGTTCCAACACCACAATCTTTCTCTGAGTCATATAGTTCAAATTGGCTTAAAATATGGTAAAATCTCATACAAAATGTTACTGCTGGATTAAGTAATGAAGACAGTGCTGGACAACACTGTTCCTTTGGTTCTGTTGCAGTCCAGGTTCCAGCCTGATTTTAAACCTGAAACTGCTTATTGGATCATTTTGATTTGGAAGATAGGGAGGGGAGTTAAGCTCTTTTATGTCAAAGAGAGGCTCAGAGATGTGGTATATAATGGTGATACAATGAATCTAGAAGTCTGTGGACTACATGGCAACTCCAGTATGACAACACATTTATAAAGCAACTGTCTTCTTCTCAGTAATAGGCAGAGGAGTAAGATCTAAGCTTGGAGAAACAGCTCAAAGTTTCCTTTTCCCCGGTCCAGGTCCTTAGAGTAGCAAAGACTATAGAACCAGTTTTTTCCTGACTGGGCCTTGGAGTTAGACTCTTTGCTCAAAAACTATGGGAGAACAGGAACCAGTGAGATGAAGTCAGCAAGAAGAGTATAGCTAGAAATACCAGGGTTATTGTAATGGTATGTAGGAATGACCTTGGGAGACAGGAGGACGAGTCACAGACTAGGCAACGGTCAGATAAAGGGCAACTGAGCCCACAGAAGGAATGGGGGCATTGCAAATGTCTCAGATGGGACCCTCCCTAGTTTCTTGGACTGTAAAGGCAAGGGGGGAGAGATGTATTTTCAGACTTGCAAGATTCTGTTAATGTAACTTTCAAATAAAGGTACACTTCTGGGTGTACTTCTTGTCTGAGCTACCTCGCAAGGCTGACAATTATTTTATTCTTTTCAGTGTTGCTTTGCTTAGTAGCCTTAGTGGGCTTCCACCCTCTGTTCCTTCAACTGTTTCTTCCTTTGCTGAGTTGTAAGTTAATGATTGTTAGCATTGGTATGTATTTTTAGGCCTCCTATGACTTGGCATAGCTATCCTATTTTCCAAGACTTTGTTTTCTTGATTTCAGTTCTTTATTCTTTGATACTCCAATGTCAGGTTTATACCAGAACTATGTCCACATACTCAAAAATAGCTTGGATATGGTAGACCCATTTACAAAGGAAAACTGGAGCCAGTTACTTATAAGTTTAGTTGTGGGGAAGGGGAATCTCCTGTTATGCTCGATCCAGATTCTAAGTAAAGTGGGAAGGGCGTCTTCCCATTCAGCAACGGGGTGGCAGCTTAACTACTGGCTTTGGGTGGAACTTTTTACCTTGGGGAACAGGTATACCCAAGGCACCACAGAATTCAAGAGGTTGGAAGTTGAAGATTGGAGTTCTCAAGAAAGGAACTTGATGGCTTGTGTTTGTGCTTGCAGTATAGATGATTCTAGTGTTTTTCTAAAGGGCTGGTTCAGAGGCTTGATGGATAGTAACGGCTTTTATGTTGGCTTTGATTTCTGTCTGTTCTTAAATGCCAAATATCTGAAAAAGGTCCTGTGTTTTTCCTAAGGTGCCACTACTTTACAGTTGACGCAAAACTCTGTCTCCTCTCTTCAGTGGTTACTTTTAGGGAGACAGTGATGGCAGATTTGGTGACAGTTCTGGGATAAATTAGGCCACACAACTTAATTCAAATAAAGTAAACAAGTGAAGCTGGGTTTTTTTCCCCCTGGGCTCTCTGGAGAAAAAATTGAAATTGGGGTAGTGGTAGATCTTCATTCTTTTGGTTCTCACCCCTCCTCTGGCTTTTACATTCACTAAATCAACGTGCTTTTAATCAGAAATACTGCTGATTTTGATAGAGATATTTAGTTTTTGGTTGAAATATGTTTAGGTGGGTAGAGATACGCGAAAACCTCAGGCTCAAGATTCTTCCAAAATGTTCAGAACAGTCTATTTCACACTTAAAATAGCTGTTTTGCACTACAGTCAGGGGCACAGAATAAAGTGTCCTACACTTGGAATGGTTCGGATTCAAAAAGTTTTGTGTACTTCTGGGTGGAAGTTGGACCTTACATTCACAGCAGATGACTTTAGTGGCTAGAAAATTTTAGCAACCTAGGATCTCAATTGGTAAATCAGTCTAAGTAGAAAAAGACTTGCTGTATTATGTATTTATTTCTTGGGACATTTAAAATAAAATAAAATTTGAAATTCTGAATCAATCAGTCAAAGTTTATTGATTAGCCCTTAGGCCATATCAAAATAATCAGGTACCAGTTTATTTAAATAAGCATTTTCTGGAACACTTACCATTTAGACTGAAAGCTACAAGAGACAAAGCCTTTTCCCATGGCAGTCACCACTGAAGACTTTGTAAATATGGCAGCCTCTCTGCCAAGAACTTCCGCTGACATTCTTTTGTATCCTTTAACAATCTTTAAGGTGTTTTTGTTCTGTCAGTGTTTTTATTGATCTTATTTTTAAATCTTTCTTTTTTTTGCAAAACAAAAACCCAAACCCTAGCATATGTACAATTGTTTAAAAAGAAGCCAAAAACAAGAGAACTAAATAAAGGAAAGAAGGATGAAAACTGAGATTGTATCTGAGAGAATATATGTATATATATATAATCTTAAGAAGAACCAAAAACATTTTAAATATCCAGAAGGACCTTTTTAAAGAAGACTATGATCTGTGAGGGAAGACATGGTTAGTACTGTATCACTAATAAGTAATGACTAAAACTGAGTACATTTATCCTTCACTGTAGAGTTTTTCAGGGACTCCTTTCATTGTGTCAGTTTTGCAGACAAAGCAATTTCTCATAATATTTATTTTGATTTTGTTTAACATTTTTATTATAAATTTTCTTGTGAAGGCTAGTCCTAAGGCTCAGGGAAAGATATGAAAAATAAAA